ACTGCTACCTCTATTTTATAGTTAAATAGAACTGGCATCCAGGGTGGTTAGTAAATGTCCGTGGGTCACAGACAGAACCTCATTCTTTTGCTTCCTACTTTGTGGCTCATATTACCCCCTCACACTTCCTCTAGAGCCATGTCTGTTGAAAGGTATATTGGGACAAGGTGATTCCGTTCACGGTGTCACACCCATTTAAACGTTTATGTTTTGATATTTTTATGAAAAAAACCCAATTGTACATTTTATTATAGCTGCATGTTTATATATTCATATATACATACAAGTAAATAAAAGACATATGAATATATACCAAAAGGGAACTATCCAGAAACATGCTGAAGTATAATTAATTTTACAAGAGCAATTCAAAACCCAGAGTCACCTGGCAGAAGAAAAATCTTGTTTGCACGTTTCTGCTCTCCACTCTGATTTCTGGCAAGCCATATTGTATAAAGGTGACATCTGTGACAAATTATCACCTTCATCTGCTAATTGCTGCATTGTCATAAAACTGCTTGTGCCTAACATGAAAGGTCTTGAAACATGTAAGAAAAGGTATAAAGTTTTTTCTTTCCATAATTGGCATCACTGTTGTTCGTTTAGGGCTTAATGTACTTTAAGATGAAAAGTTAAAAGAAATGTATAGTCAATCCAAAATCACACTGGCAAACTAAAAATGTTGTCCATGTTAGTTTGGCCTGCTTTTGGAATTCTGTGCTTGTAGCTAATACAAAATGGAATTGTGGGCTTGATGGTCTTACTGTATATGAATAGCAAGTGGCCATCTACTGATAGAAGCTCACAGAGAACAATTCTTTATGCCTGTAGAATGGGACAGGAAGGCGCCAAGACATCAAAGCAGTGGTACTGCTGCTGTTGTTTGTTTTTAAAGTGGTGCCACTTACTGTGGCATTCAATTTAGACTCACCCTTCTTGTTCAAAAATATGTGTTTATTATTTAACAATCTGATATTATAGTATTTAATGATTACTTTAAAAGTATTTGACATCATGGAACATGCTGTTGGAACACATCTTTTGCTAATACAGATCTTTTCAATTGTAGGCAGGATGGTTGAGACTATTTTAGTGGATAAGGATATATCTGTAGAGCTCTGTTCTGAAATCTGGAAAATATTTTAGCAGCAAACTGATTTATAACTTTGGGGAACATGTATTACTTAGTCATCATTCAGAGTACTAGTCAACAACCACAGCATGTAATTTTTCATGCCAGAATTGGCAACTGGTTACACACCCTACTCCCCACCATATCAGTAAAAAAAGAAAGAAAGAAACATAGTCAGTTGACTCCATTTGCTTCAGCTAAAAAAACAGTTAGATGATTCTGTTTACTTCAGTTAGAAAAGCAGAATGGGACCTGTACACTGTAATAGCAACAGAAACAAATATGATGATGATGATTATAGTAGTTAACAGCAGCTAACATTTATTGAGCATTTACTAAGCACCAGGCATCATGCTATGTGTTCTGTATGCATAAGATCAGTTAATCCTCACAACGACCGCACGTGGCCACGTTACCAGTAGTTAACTTGCAGGGCAGAACTGAAGCAGACATTGAGGTGAAGAAGCTTAAAGTATCGGAGTGCTGTTTGTCTGACTGAATAGCCTGTGTTCTTTCTACTGTAATTTGATGCCTCTTTTATGAGATTTTAGTTAGAGCACCTTTGTAATAGTAGTGAGCTGGATGGATTTCTTCAGGGAAGATTTTAAAAAAGAAAAAAGAGGCTAAACAGCCAGATCAGAGGGATGGTGGTCGGTCGCAAGAGAGGTGGTTCTGAGGCTGCCTGAGATGACAGGGGAGGCCGGCACAGCCTGGGTAGGGGTGAGGGGTGTCAAGTGAACAGAAGGAGAAACAGTGTCATCAAGAATCAGAGGTGAAGAGGATCTTAGACCATCATCTGGTCAGAGAAAAAGAATGTTTGAGAAAGGAAATCTGAGACTCAGAAAGGGCCCAGCACAACTTTCTGATCTTTAAACCCCTGAGACCTGCTTTTGTTAATCAACTATGTGAAAAAGAAGCTTGCTGTTAAAACAAAAGACCATGATAAATAAACACTCCAATGGAATCTGGAGACCATATATTAAAACCAATTACTATTAGGTAACATCTTTACGGCTCACTCACTCATGTGTTTGCTGTTGCTGACATCTAATAATAGCACAAGTTCAGCCAAATCAGAAGTTCAAGACATCCAGAAATTAAGGATAAGTCTTACTGGGAAGCACTGAATAAGAGAAAATGCACTACAAGGAAAGTAATTTCTGTGCCTATGTTTAGAATATATTTCACCAAGATTAAGAATATTTTCTTTTGTCTGAAAAGATGGGCATAGTGCCCTACCATCATCTTCCCAGAGTTTTATATATTACACTGACCAATATCTGTCATGGATGATTTATTTCATATGTACCCCTAATCACAGGACATTTCAATACATGATTATGTAACTTTTTTTCGGTACTAGATTAACACAAACCCAAAATGAAGTTGTTAACTTAGAGAAAGGAAGCTTTCACATGAGAAAGTTTTTTTTTAAGTTATAATAAATTTGTCACAATTTTAAACTTTTAATGTACCAAAATTTAGTTATATTTATCATCTCTGCTGCTATATTATTTTTAACAATAGTAACTTTATTCTTTTTTGCTTTTAAACAAGTAATAATTTGGTCTGACCATTTGGTTTTCTTACATATTTTGTAAGTCAATAACTGAATTGTAACCATGCAATAATTACCTTCACGATTAGGCGGCACATGTGTGCACATTAAGACAACATGAAATTAGGTTGAAGTAGTTGGGAGTGAGGGATAAAACCTCCATATTTGTTTGAATATGGCCTTGCCTTCAAGAAGTTTACAATCTTCATGGATAGATAATAGTACACATGGAAAAATGTAAAAAAGTTATATGGCAGTATAATTACACACTAAGTTTCATGGTATATAGTATAAAATATTATGCTGAATTACATTACACAATTACAGATGTATTCAGTAAGGAGAGATCATGTAGTGCTGAAATACTCAGGTAAGGCTTTTTTAAGAAGCTGAATTTCCCTTGGACCTTAAGAGACTATGTGAGATTTCTATAGGCAGAAAAAGTAAGGGTGGGTGAGGACAGGAAAGGAGGAGTACTAGAAAGGGCACAGAGTTTGGGCCAGTGTGGCACTGAGTGGTCAGCTAGGCAAAACCAGTCTTACTGTGCTGAAGACCTGTTTTATGGAGTAACAGACAATATTTGAGAAGGTTGTATGGAGCCATTATTGTTGCAGAACTTAATTCTTGCCCCCAAATAGTCATGTTTTCATTTTTTCCATTTCTAGATCAAGTCACTTAAGCAAACAGCTCATGTGTTAAGACTCTAACACATATGGATATGTTTAAGTTTGGGGTTTGAAATAAAATGTTTTTGAATTCAAAGTAAAACAATCCATATTTTGGTCCATATTTAGCTCATATGCCTAAATTCTAAATATGAAGGAATGAAGGATACTATCTTTCCACTAATCTAGGGGATATAGGGTTAACCACTAAAAACACAAGTGAATTCCCACTAGGTAATTTGGATCAGCACACCTGAATAAAACTCTTCAGTCTGTATTCAGGGAGAGAAAATCACTAATTTAACACCCAGAGTACATATGTACTATCTGATAGTCCTGTGTTTGGCTCCCTAACTCGGTCTATAGTAGTTCTCGTTTGTTCTGAGCGAGCCAGTGGTTTCCTGGGAAGTGAAAGCAGTGTACTGGTTCTAGAGAGGTCAGTCTTCAGTGGTGTTGTAGACCACTTTCATGTCTTGGACTTCTTGCGTAGACACAGCCAGCTACTGGTAATCCAGTCTGTTCTTGTCTGCAGTGGCTGTAGGGGACTAAAGACGGCCAGCAGGAGCCATTACTCTTTGTGGCTCATGTTGCATTTTTCTCAGTTGGTAAGCCTCCCCCAGGACTGCATTTTGATGACCCTTCCTAACAAACAAACAGCATGTTCCAGGAGGCCAGGAAGAAAGGCAGAAGTGGAACACTGGGTGCATTATGTGCCATGCACTCTGCCCTTCTCGTGTGACTTTTTATTACTGGAAACTATTTATAAAATGGGGTAAGACCTTTCCCTCATGTTAAAAAATGTAATTGTAAAGTAAATCTTTGACATTTACTAGAATATTTTTCTGAGACCTTTTGTGTTTCCCCAGATTTGCAGGTATCTTTGTAATCTAGCAATTAACTCTTTAGAGGCCATTTAGACCCTTACAAAGAATAAAGCTTTTATCTATTTATGGTAATGAATAAAATACAACAAAAACTATAGGAAATCTGGGTGCTGATCAGTGAGAACGCACACAGACCAACTAAGTGACTTGGTCCTAACACATCATGAAGCAGAAATGATTCAAATTTGCGTAGCAAAATTATATATAACCACATGTTAAAGACCTTTGGAGTCACTCACGTCAAATCTTTAAATGCTTTAGATCATAAATGGCATTACATTGTTTTCTTTGTTCATTTTAGTTTTTTCTTTCTTTCTCATAGCAAAATATCTGAGATGCTCACTTAGGACAGATCATGTTGTGTTTAATGAAGAAAGTCATTATGGCCTTAATGAAAAACAATGGAAGCCCTATATTCTGTCCA